GACAGTATACTGACACATCTACTCTGTTCGTTTAATATGGGAGGCTTCACTGAAAATTCTCCTCATATTCAAGTAATATTAAACATTTTGGTGGTCTGTATTGGTGCTGTAGTTGAGTGGTATATAGTCCTAAACCCTTCATACTCCCTTGCCAGCGGATGTTTTCGGAAAGGAAGCCAGCGTTGAATTTGTCAAAATCATAGTCCAAGAATGTTAACCAATCAAATATCATGTGTCTCAGAGTCACTTTTCCTCGCGCCAAACAACCACTGGCTATGAGCAAGAGAGGATGATCACTTGCTAAGAGGGACGGACGAATGCGTTTCTGTCGGTGGAGTGCTTTGGGGGCTAGGTAAAATAAATAATAAATTATATTATCATTGGATACATTTTTTTCTTCCTTTTCATTGGCCGAGAGCCAACCACAATGCCTGCAAATTAATGCCCACAAATAATGGTCTGCTTATAGGTAGTACCGTCTAAATGTGTTTTGCTGCAGATAATATTCTGCTCATGCGTAATTGTAATAACTTAACATCCTTACGGCCGGCCTCCTTCGAGAATAGTTCAGGGGCCCGTTTCTCGAAGGTCTGAAAAGTTTTTGCATCTGGCCGGAAAGCCGTAGCAAAATCTCAAACCTTATGATTACAGAGCTGTTTTATTCACGTATTCTTAATCTGAACAGAGGTTCTCTTCATACAAGAAGTTTCAGGCGTATACACTTCTCCGTTTTTAGATACAGATGAACTAAAAATGGTTTTACGGGCCCGAAAAGTTTCCGGGGCTTTAGTGAAACGGATCCCGGGTCCGGTGACTTTGCGCAGCATCCCTAATCCTGTTAAGGGAGAATTAGAAAATTACCAGCGACCGTGTCAACTGACATGAGAATAATTTTCATGACTAACAGAACAAGGTATGAGGTGTAAAAAGCTAAGCATAAACGCTCAAGACACTGTCAGCTCTGTTCCACGATGTGCAAAATAACTTCGTAGAAGCTAGACTACGAGTAGTCCCTCTTTCGCTTAGTCCCTCCTTTCGCGCGCCCCTCGTCCCCAGGATTTCGCGCGGCCATTTTTTTCTCGCAGTTTTCTTTCGCGTCACGCACGACGGACTAAGCGAAAGAGAGACTACTCGTAATCTACGGAGTAGCCAGAAATATAATATGACATCCATGGAAGGAAGGAAGCGAAATATCGCGGCATATTATTAAATTTTCCTGATTGTAAGTAAGTAAGTAACTTTATTTAACCAGGGTAGCCCATTCAGCAACAAGGCTGGTATCCATAGGAGCCCTGGGGAATAAAGATATATACAATCTATAAGATCTAAAATATTAAGTACAATTTAGAAATTTAAAATTAGAGTAGAAATAATAAAAACTTAAAAAAAAAAACACTTCAATAAAAGGCTAAAAAGTACAAATATGATAACATGTTTATAGATTTCCAAAGGATAAAAATTACCGATAAAAATGCTTAATTATCAAACTTTTAACATTATTCAAGGAGGGGGCACTCTTAATACAAGCGCGTAATGCTTTAAAACAGATAGTTCCTGCATACTTAAAAGTTCTCTTTTCCATATTGTATTTTGGCTTTGGTGGATGCAGGTCGTTACTTCTGCGAGTAACATAGAGATTGTAACATATTAACATCTTTCCGTCTGGCATCCTTCGAGAAAATAAAGAAATATACTATCGAACCTTAGTTTCACTATTTTCGGAGATGGGGGCGGGGGGTGGGGTGGGCTCGCTGCTTTTGGAGGGTTGCTACTTTCGGGATTTATCAGTGGCCACAATTTTTTGACCGGTTAATTTCGGGGGATCGCTACTTACGGGGAGTCGTTATTTTCGGAAGTTTACGGTAACATGGTTAAAAATCCCAACTGGCAGAAGGCAGATAAGTGGATCATTTACCAGCGTAGACGAGGAGTTGAACTCGAAACTATAGAGAACAACGCCAGCTAGTGACCAGAACGGGACTTAAACCCGCGACCTACCCATTTCAAGTCCGGCACCCTAGAATACGAGTAGTCCCTCTTTCGCTTATCCCGTCGATTTTCTTCCGTTTAATGCACGACGGATAAGGCAAAAGAGGGAAACCACTCGAGCACTCGGTTGATTAGTTCAGGTCCGGTAACTTTGCGTAACATCCTTGTACCAAGGGACTTCTAGAATTAGAAATTACCAGCGATCGTGTCAACTGACATGAGAACAATTTTCATAACTTAACAGAACAA